GGCCCTCGGCCCTCCCCCAGCACAGGCACGTGGAGGCCCCTGATGCATCCTCTTATCAGGTCAACCTGTTATGGCATCCTGGTTAATTAGCATATTTATTATATAGGGAGAGATAGATAAATTGATTGATTCTTAGAGACAGAGCAAGGGAAAGGGATAGAGAGATATAAACGTCGATGAGAGAGAAACATCAATTGGCTACCTCCCACAAGCCCCTTACTAGGGATTGAGCCCAATACTGGGGCATGCGCCCTGGCCCGGGATCAAACCAGTGACCACTTGGTTCATGGGTTGATGCTCAACCACTGAGCAATACAGGCTGGGCCATGATCTCTTTTTCACCTATAATAGATCTGTGTCCACATGCAGCCACTCCTACTGAATGATTAGCTAAATGATTAGCTCCTTTAGCACAGAGTCTCCGGTCTTACTCATCTCAGCTTCTACCTGACATGCCATTGTTGTCTCCTGGCCCTAGCTGGCAATGGAGCTCCAGCCCTCGGGGTATACATTCCAGGAGGAGAAGAGAGACAAAAAAAGTGCCCCCCCCCCCCTAGCTGAGTTAGTCCCTGTAAAGCAGGATTTGAGGGGGTGGGGTGTCTAAGCTCAGAGGGGGGCCTTGGGAAGGGCCTTTGATGAGTGTTACCTGGGAAGACAGCTGTTCTCAGCCCCTCACCCCCATCCTGCTACCCTGGCCCCAGCTAGGCAGGCTGTCAGGGTCCCTCTGCACACAGGCCCTTCACGTCCTTTCCTTGTCCCTCTCACCCCTCTCCCTTCTCTCGGGCACCAAAGCAGCCTTTCCAACCAAAATTCGGTTCTGCCCCAAGGAGCCCGCTCCGTCCTCACCCCCTCTCTGTGATGGCCGGGTCCTTTGTCTTCCTCCTGTCCTAACCAATGTGGGCATTTGTTTTCGGGTTTGGAGGTGAGGAAGAAAAACTAGGTCCATTTAAGCCCTTCCTTTACGGGCGACATTGACCCACTTACCTTCTCTTCCCTCAGACCCCCTCCGCCAAGGCCACTCAGCCTGGACATCTGTCCCAGCCCAAGTCTCACCTTGCACTGTCCTTGCAGCCCAGAGGCCGAGCCGGTCTCTGTGTCCTGCCCCAGTCCCCCTTTCCCCCACCCCCACTCCCACCTCCAACCAGGGAGGAGGAAGGTCTGTAGAGTGCCCTGGGCCACCCCCAGTCTGGCCCCTGGGCCACCCCCAGTCTGGCCCCTTCTGCTAACTCGGATTCACGATGCCTGCACGCTGGAGCCCGAGGGATGAAGCCAGCCCCAGGGAGTCCGCGCGCGGGGAAGGGCCCGGGGTGCGCGCAGCCTGCACGGGGGCCTCGGCGCCGGTGCCGAGCCCCTAGGTCCGCCGCTCCTCTTCCCGCCGAGGCGCGCCCCTCCCTCTCGCTCTCTGCTCCCCCTCCCCGCCTCTCCCCCGCCCGCCGCTCGGCTCCCTCTCCCGCCGGCCTCTTCCCCTCGCGCCTCGCCGCCCCGGCCCCCGGCCCCGCACCCCCAGCCCCCGCCGCCCCGCATCCCCTCCCGCCGCAGCGCGGGCGTCTGTGCGCGGCCCGGAGCCGGAGCCCGAGAGGCTCGGAGCGGACCGGACCGACCCGACCTCGGTCCCCAGCAGGTGAGGGCAGCCCGAGGCCGGGGCTGGGGGCGGGAGGAGGGCGGCCAGGTTCATCCTGATGGGGAGCGGGGGCGGGGAGGGCGCGTGGAAACCGGTCCTTCCCCGAAAGGAGGATGTGGAGCTTTCCATGGGATGCTCAAGGGCTTTTTCTGGGAGAAGAGGAATAAAGGAGGGTCTGGCGGGGCGGGAGGAGGGGGGGGAGGGAAGGGAGGGAATGAGGGGAGGAGGCCTCGGGTACCCCTTTTGGAGGGATTTTTTTATCCACGAGAAATGATTAATTGGCTTCTGTGAAGGGGGTTTACTGGGAGCGCGAGGAGCCTTCCAGGTAGGCGGGGAGGGGAGTCTTGAGGGAGGCAGGGTTTGGGGGGAGGGTTGGGCGAGGAGAGGGGCTCTGAGACCCCCTTAGCCTGGCATCGCCGCACCTCCCCCATGGGTTCCCGCGGCTCTGCCCACTTATCTGTGTCCCAGTTCTTTCTCTTTAAAGATGACTGTTTTTGCGCTCCACCTGGACAGAGCTAGGAACAGCCATTTCCTTCCCTGCAGTGGTGATGCCCACCGGGCCCCCTCCCACCTCTGCCCTGGGGACCTAGGCATCTGGGAACGGGGCAGCGGTGGGTGAAACGCAGGTGGGGTACTGGACACACAGGAGGACCCTCTGGCGCTGGTGGGTCACCAGCCGGCTGGGGGGCAGATGGGCAGAGTCCCAGAGCAGACCCTCAGGAAGAGCACAGATGCTCCCACACCCTCAGAAGGCAAAACGCTAGAGTTGTGGTTGGTTGGTTTTATTTGGTTTGGCTTCCTTTCCTCACTCCCGATGTCGAGACTCTTTCCACTCAACTCCCCTCCTAATTGTGCAAAAAGGGAAACTGGGGCTGAGGACAGGTTGTCTGGAAATAGCTCTGTCTAGGAGGGAAAGGCCGTGGGGAGGAGGACACACTGATTTTGGAGTCAAAAACCCCTTTTCAAGGCTTGCCTCAGGGCTCCATGGGTGATCTTGGTCCAAAACACCTCCTTCTTGTTGGGCCGATGCTTTTCTCATCTGTAAAGTGGGCAAGGAGCCACTGGTCTGCCAGGTGTGCCATGTGCCCAGACATTGCCAAAGGGGGATGCACGGAGATGCAGTCACCACTCCAACTGCAGATGCCTCTCCCGCATCAAGGGTATTGGCTAACCTCGTGGTTGGCAAACTGCGGCTCGAGAGCCACATATGGCTCTTTGGCCCCTTGAACGTGGCTCTTCCACAAAACACCACGGCCTGGGCGAGTCTATTTTGAAGATGTGGTGTTAGAAGTTTAAGTTTAAAAAAGTTGGCTCTCAAAAGAAATGTCAATCATTGTACTATTGATATTTAGCTCTGACTAATGAGTTTGCTGACCATTGGGCTAACCCATAGGTCCTTTGTAGGAATTAGGAAAGGTACCTCCTCTGGAGGGAGAGTGCTCAGCGGGGCTAGGGACGTGGGGCCTTTCTTAAGAGGATTAGGAAAAGGCACACTTTTCTCCAGGAACAGCAGCCCCAGACATTTGGGCAAGTGTAATGTGGGCTCGATTTCAGTGCCCACCTTCCCTAAGGCGAATGCCTTTGCTGAGTAGAGCACGTCTGTACAGCTGCACCTGGCAACCCATCTCAGCAGGTCCCCGTGTCAAGAGACATAAAGCTACACATACTCCCAGGATATTGCCTACCGAAGCCCACAGACGAGGCTGTTGCCCGCTCACTTTCTGCCATGCTTTGTCTCCACTTCAAGGCCTTTGCGTATTCAATTCCCAACGCCTATGCCTATTAGGAAGCTGATGGAACCCTGCATCGGAGAGTGGCTCCTTTGAGTTAAGCAGAGCCTTCACCAAGCTCCCAGGATAGGAGTTACTGAGTCCCTAACCCCTTAGGTCAAGGGCTTGATCTCAAGGCCAAGAGCAGAAGCATCTACACACCTGGGTGACAGCCGCTCAGACTGTGTTCACACCTGTTATCTCAGGACATTCTCAGTCAGCTTGTGAAGGAGGTTCCCTCCCCTTTACACAGGGGAAGCCCTGCCCAGAGAAGTTAAGGAACTTGCCTAAGATTTCACAGCGTGTAAGAGGTAGAGCCAGGCCCCAGGCCCAGGTCCCCTCCACCCCACCACTGAAGAACAACACTGCTGACCCTACATGTCAGAGGCTGCTGGAATTGTTGCTCTCCCTCTGTTACCAGCAGCTCCTGGCTCTCTCCTTTCCCTGGGACCAGCCCCCAAGCTCAGAGAAGGAGTCACTTTCACTTACTCGGGGGAAGTGCCTCAAAGCCCAACGGTTCTGGCCTCGTTAGTGCAAGAAGGGCCCCTGAGGAATCCAGAAGCCCAGTGTGGAAGCTGACTCTTGAGTGGGTCGAGACCAAAGAAGGGGTCAGGGAGTAGCTATTTCCTTTCCTGCCAAGATGGGCTGAAACAGTAGCCATCATGGAGGACATCAGTGCAGCAAACCAATGCCTGCGTGAAAGACAAGCCGAAGACCACAGAATAGCCACAGGGAAATGCAGCAACCCAGAGACTGAAGGAAACTCAGAGACCCCTTGCCCACCCCTTGTGTGCCCAGGACCCTGGGTGCCAAGGGGAAGGGGTTAGGGAAGCCCCTACAAACAGCATTCTGCTTGTGTCTGTGTTATATGTATGACAGCTTTTACGTGAGAAAGAGATTCCGGTGCTTTTAACAATGAAAGTTTGAAGAATCACTGGCCTAATGGAATGGTTCCCAAAGTGTGGTCCCTGCACCAGGAACATCTACTTTACCTGGGGATTCGTTGGAAAATGAAAATCCTCAGGCCTCATTAGACCTACTAAATGCAAACTCTGGAGATGAGGACCAGCCAGGCATGTGTGAACAAGCTCTCCAGGTTGATAGATTAAATAGAGAAGGTAGCCGGAGACCAGGATGGCAGGACACACACAGGTTTTATTGGAGGGAAGAGTACCCCTGCTGGCTGCTTCCAGAGAGAGGGGCGGAAGAGAGCAGGCGCTGGGGTACAAGCACCTTTAAGGATAGGGGACTGGGCTTAGGGCACTCAGCACGCTGATTGGTGATTAGGGACCTGGGGACTTAGGAATGGGGGCTTAGGGTATCTGGCAGGTGCTGATTGGTGGTTCAGAGCTCAGGAATGTCTGGCCACAGGTGGGGTTTATGTCTGTCCATCAACTGGAGGAAGGGAGGATCTATCACAGGTGACACTGACTGCTGAAGTCTGCAGATCACTGATTAATCCAAGTGCATAGGAAACCGAGTCCTGGTTAAGCATCAAGGGCAGGGCTGGGAAGAGAACCGGTCTCCAGGTCCAGAGCTCCGGGAATTTGGAGGTGCCCCCGCCCAACCCTCCTCTCCTTCTCCCTCTGCCCCCCCCCCTTGCAGGCGCCATGCTGCCGCTCCTGCTGGGCCTGCTGGGCCCGGCAGCCTCCTGGGCACTGGGCCCGGCGGCGCCCGGCTCCACGGAGCTGCGCTCGGCCTTCTCGGCAGCCCGCACCACTCCGCTGGAGGGCACTTCGGAGATGGAGATGGCGGTGACCTTCGACAAGGTGCACGTCAACATCGGGGGCGACTTCGACGCCGCCACGGGCCAGTTCCGCTGCCGCGTGCCGGGCGCCTACTTCTTCTCGTTCACGGCGGGCAAGGCCCCGCACAAGAGCCTGTCGGTGATGCTGGTGCGCAACCGCGACGAGGTGCAGGCGCTGGCCTTCGACGAGCAGCGGCGGCCCGGCTCGCGGCGCGCCGCCAGCCAGAGCGCCATGCTGCAGCTCGACTACGGCGACGTGGTGTGGCTGCGGCTGCACGGCGCCCCGCAGTACGCGCTGGGCGCGCCGGGCGCCACCTTCAGCGGCTACCTGGTCTACGCCGACGCCGACGCCGACGCCGACGCCGCCGCGCCCGCGCCTGCGCGCCGCGCGCCCGCGCGCCCCGAGCCGCGCTCGGCCTTCTCGGCGGCGCGCACGCGCAGCCTGGTGGGCTCGGACGCCGGCCCGGGCCCGCGCCACCGGCCCGTCGCCTTCGACACGGAGCTCGTCAACATCGGCGGCGACTTCGACGCGGAGGCCGGCGTGTTCCGCTGCCGCCTGCCCGGCGCCTACTTCTTCTCCTTCACGCTGGGCAAGCTGCCGCGGAAGACGCTGTCGGTGAAGCTGATGAAGAACCGCGACGAGGTGCAGGCCATGATCTACGACGACGGCGCGTCGCGGCGCCGCGAGATGCAGAGCCAGAGCGTGATGCTGGCGCTGCGCCGCGGCGACGCCGTGTGGCTGCTCAGCCACGACCACGACGGCTACGGGGCCTACAGCAACCACGGCAAGTACATCACCTTCTCCGGCTTCCTGGTGTACCCCGACCCCGACCCCGCCGCCGCCGCCGCCGCCGGCCCGCCGGGCGCCGGGCCCCTGGAGCTCTGAGCGCCCGCGGGAGGCGCCGAGGGCGAGCATGCCGGGCCGCGCGGCCCCCCTCCCTCGCCGGCGAGCATGGCGGCCCGCCCCGCGCCGCTGGGCGCCAATAAAGCGGGCCTGCGCCGGCGACCGTGTCCGTCCAGTTCTCTGTCTTAACTGCGGCCGTTTTGTCTCTTGGGGGGGGGGGGGGGGGGGAGGCACTGACTATGGCAGGTGTGGGGTGAGGGTCGGGGGTCAGAGGGCTAGATTAGTCAGGCTCCCCGGGAAGGTGAGATGAGAATTCGAACCCGACACATCGAACCCGTGGTGGGCCTCGCACCCACTCATGTCCCTTTGCGGTCAGGTCCTGTCCAACTCCTCCCCGTTGACCTTCCATTCTCGGGGTCCACGGATGGTTGAAGGGGCCCCACCCGGCTACGTGTGGGAGTATGGGAGTCAAGGACACAGCACCTGCCTTCTACCGGTCCGCCGTGTGAAGGGGATAGAGAAAGCAGCGCGTACCTGGGCGCCCACCTCCTACCGCCCTCCTGCCCCAGGATTAGGAGGGCGGTTTGCTCAGGACAGGGATGAAACAGCTTACTCTGACATGGAAGGAGCCAGGAGGCCAGAACAGAACATTTTATGGGGGGGGGGGGAGGGGGGAGGCGGGCTACACAGGATCAGGGGCTCCACCAGCCAGCCTCGGCCTGTTTCCGGCAATCCCCTCCCTGCCTCTCTCCTTCCTCTGAAGTGTTCATCCGAGCCTTGCTGAAATGGACCCCCAAAATCCCTCCTACTCTAAAAATGTACATCTCCCCGCCCGCTTCCCTTCACTCTTCCAACAGACAAAACAGACTACGCCAAGGCTGTTCTCCCAGACCCAATGGGGAAGGTGGAGATTCAGGGGCCCCAGAGCAGTGGTTGGGCTTACAGGGGTGCCTACATGGCTGGGGTGTGGAGCGTGCAGAAGGCTCCCTTAAAGTCCCAGGCCTCATGGACTGCCAGGGTGGGGCTGGAGGCTCTCACCCCCTGACTTAGGGGTAGCTTCCCTTTCAGGACCTTTAAAATACACTTCTCAATACTGACCTCCACACACACACACATACACACACACTGCCTGGAAGTCCTACTTTAGTATTGCACCTGCTGCCTGGGACCCAGAGGCTGGGCTCTTTGCCTATCAGGGCCAGGGAAGAAGATGGGGAAGAGGTAAACATGGGTCCAGGGTGCAGCTCTAAGCCCAAAGACCTGATCACCTGGGGAGAACCAGGTGCCGTATGGAAGCCCCTGCCCAGGATGAGTCTGGCTTGTGGTGGTGGGAGGTGGGATTAGGGGAATGATAGGTGAAAGGGGAGGGTCAGGGGAAAGGGTCAAGGATTGAGGACCAGGGCTCCAAGGAAGGAGGCTTGCCCTCAGGGCAGAAGCCTTTGCACAGGTCCCAGAGTGTTTCCTGTGCCAGGAGGGCAAAGACCTGGGCCCAGCGACCCCTCTCCTCAGCCTCCAGAGCCTTGTGGAGCCGGTAGACACAGGACAGGCCGGTGAGGAGCAGATGTTGAAAATCCCAAGGGCTAAGAGGAGGCCCCTTCCTCCGGTCCTGGAACTGCTGCAGCCGCTGCTCAGCGCCCTCCAAGTCACTGGGCACGTGGTGCTGCAGGAGGAGCCCGAGTCGGCGGCCTGGACGGGTGGACGCCAGCTCCTCATCCTGGATGTGCAGCTGCCCCATGACATCCAGCTCCAGCCTGGCCCAGAGCAGCTGCAAGGGGAGCTGTGTAAGGAGGGGACTGAGCTCCGGGGGCAGGGTAGGGAGCTAGAATGGGCCAGGGGGGCATAAGCAGGCAGTAGGTCCCATGCTGGGTTGCCCCCCACCTCCAATAGGCCCAGCTTGAGACATTCCCCCTTCCCAGCTTGAGTTGAACCTCTGGACACTGCCACCCCCGCCCCCCAATTCCCATGTCCCAAACTGGAGGAAAGACCTCAAACATCACTTCCGGGGCTTCTGGCTCCTGCAGGTCACCTGCCACACTGGTGTTGTCCATGCGCTGTCCTGGGGCAGCAAAGGAGAAGTCAGGCCCCTGTCAAGCTCCATCCTAAACAACACAGCTTCCCAGAAGTGCCCCTTCGCTGCCTGTAAGAGTGTCTAGAGGTTTTAGCTGCAAGAGTAGGAATGCCATTCCATCCCCCTCCCCACTCCCTACACACATATGCACATTGACATTTGCCAACCAAGGCATAGGTCTTTTTCCAAGATCATCATCCCAAACCCAGATACCATCTTGGCAAATGTCCAGAACTCCTCCTTGAACTTCACAGTTCCCTTTGCCAAGAGCTCCAGGGCAACGGGTCACAAGACACTTTACTTCCCACTTTCCCTCCCTCCCTATCATCTGGTGACAGTGAAACCTAAAACAGTACCAGTGACCTTCCCCAAAGATTGAGAACCCCTTTTGGGAAGAACCCACTCCTACCTTACTCCTCAATAATGATGGTATGCAAGGCAGGGGGGCCAGGCAAGGCAGGATGTCTGTCCCAGCTTCCTTCATCCCACCCCAGGGTGCACCCATCCCTTGAAATGATTGCTCCAGGCCCAGGGCAGAGCAAGGGAAACTGCTCCAGGCATCAACCAGAATAAGCCCAGGCCCAACTCTGTCCGGGGTCAGCACCTACGTTTACCTCCCTTCACGTCACCTGGACCTTTTCTGTTCTAAGGAAGGGGCCCACACCATTAATCTCTGCAGCACAGGTCAGCCCACAGTTCCTAGGCCCTGCTAGGCTCAGACAGAGCCAACTAGAACTGCTGTTAGCCAGCAGCCTTCCTTGGTTCCCATCCACCCCACCCTGAAGCCCTGGTACCTTCATGGTGCTGGGTTGTTGTCAACCCAGGGAGGAGGCAAATGGCTATTAGCCAAGCCAGGAGCTTAATTTTCCCCGCCATGCCCCACCGCGTCCTCCGAGTTCTGCTCTCCCTGGCTGCTCTCTGCTCCTGCATCCGCCTGCCACACACCATGGCTCCAGCTTTCCACTGCAGGCTGCTCAAGTGTTCCCTGCTTTGCGTGTCAGTTCAAAGCAAAACAGGGAGGAGCTGGCTCTGGCATCCCAGGGCTCTTTCCATCCCGTAGAAATGTGAAATCCTTGCTGTTGGCAGGAGGCTGTTGTTACCCTGATGGGCTGGGTTCTTAGTTAATAGAAAAAAGGTGTTTGGTAGCAAACAGCTTGAGCTTGGTCCTCCTAAAAGGTAGGGAAGGCCCAGGCAGTAATACGATCTTACAATTTATCTGTCCTCATACCCAAAACATCCTGCAGCTGAGCCCCACTCCTGACGCCCTGTCCCTAGCCCAGCCTCCAGGGATTCCCTCAACAGCCAAGAACATCAGCTGCAAAGCCCAGTCCTACAAATGCAGGACAGACTGACCGGACAGCGCCGTGGACAGGCAAAGCCAAGCACTTCCACCTCAGGCACTCAGCCAAACTGGCCGAACACAGTCCAGACCAGCTGGGGTGGGGAGTCTATCCCCCTGAAGCTCTGCAGCTCCTGAATGTCTTTGGCCTCAGCCTTGGGTCCTCCTTTGCTTGTTGACAACATTCTTGGCTCAGGCCAGAGTCTAGGAAGATTCCCTTAGATCAAGCATGATGGGCTGTCAGGTTGCAGAGTTCAAGATTCAAAAATGGGCTGCAGCTCTTCCTGTTGGCTCATGGAACTCTGTGGATATTTGCATGGAATGAGGGTGGGTAGTGGTTTCCTTGTCCACCCAACCCCCTGAACACATAAGCTACTGCCAGACCTGGTGCTTTCTCCAGAGTTGTTGAGATCCTGCTAGAGGCCATGCCACACCCACCCTGAGCCCTGTGTGCTATGTAAACTTCGAATTTCATCCTCAGAAATACATCCAGGCCTGCAGGTCACGTCTGAAACTGCATTGATTCATTCCATTAAAACAGACTCCCAGTTTGGTAATCAGCAGGGATAACTCCTGCCTGCCATCTCGCCTCTCCAGAGTAAAAACTATTTTTAAAAAAATATACTTTATTGATTTTTTACAGAGAGAAAGGGAGATAGAGCTAGAAACGTCGATGAGAGAAACATCGACCAGTTGCCTCTTGCACACCCTCTACTGGAGATGTGCCCACAACCAACGTACACGCCCTTGATCGGAATCGAACCTGGGACCCTTCAGTCCGCAGACAGGCGCCCTACTGCTGAGCCAAACCGGTTTGGGCCAGAGTAAAAACTTTTTTTTTTAATATATTTTTATTGATTTTTCACAGAGAGGAAGAGAGAGGGATAGTTAGAAACATCGATGAATCATCGATCAGCTGCCTCTTGCACACCCCCTACTGGGGATGTGCCCGCAACCAAGGCACATGCCCTTGCCCGGAATCGAACCCGGGACCTTTCAGTCCGTAGGCCGACGCTCTATCCACTGAGCCAAACCGGTGTCGGCCAGAGTAAAAACTTCTTGATAATAAGCACACACAGGAAGTGATAAGTCTAAGTAGGATTTTATTTACACAGACACTCAATTATAGATAAGGCGCTTTCTAGGATCCAGAAGCCTTCCCTGGAGCTACTTGGTTTCGGGTTTCTTGTCTCCGGCTTCCAGCTTGAGACTCTCAGGGGGCTGGCGATAGGCAGGGAAAGCCTCCCATGGGCTATTCAGGTCAAACTTGCGGAACTCTTGGGCCAATTCTATCGGTTCAGCCACCACACGCTTCACTTCGTCATCATAGCGTAACTGCAGAAGAAAAAGGCAGGTTTGTGCACGGAGGAAGGCCTTGTTACAGTAAGCAGCCCATCTTTCTATACTAGGGGTGATTTCTCCAGCCCCTTTACTTCTCTATTCTTGATTCCTGTCCCAGCTGTTTCAAGTCTCCATCCACATCTGTTACTTATCAACCATAGTCCAAAATGTCCTCTATCTCATGCCCTACCATCACCCGGTCAGGCTCACCTTCCCACCATCCCATTATGAGCTCTTTTCCAGCTGAACTGATTTTGCTCACCCATCCACACATTTTATAAGATAAGCATTTGCCCGGGATTAGGGAGCTAGTCAGTGACTGAAAAGAGTACACCTAGACTGGCAGGCACTCAAGTTCCGGCCTGAGGCCTTGGCATTATCGGTGTCAAGATGTGAGGCAATAAATCTGGCATGGGTTTTCTTGTTATTGGAGGATCAGCTGGACAAGATAAAAACAAGTGCTAGGATTAAGAGGCAATCCAAATTAGGGGGACAGTAGGGATGAAAGAAGGGGAGAAGAAAGGAAAGTAACCCTGATCAGAAGTAGCTTGAGAAGAAAAGGGTACCATGCAAAATACTAAGAAAACAAGAGCATTCGAGCACTACAGAGAAGGGCTGGATTGCCACTATCTTGGTATTTCTAAAAAGTTACTTTGCTACAAAATCACCTGTGTTAATGTACACACTAGATTACCTCCCTGCTGACAAACAACCTGCAGCACATGGATGGTAAAGCAAAGCATTGAAATTCTTTTTTTTTTTTTTTAAAGCACTGAAATTCTTTATAAGGCTCTGATAGTCACAAGTTACTGGTCCTGCCTCTGGTCATTCTCAAAGGCTGAATATTCAGTGTCCTCCCTGTCAGCTTCCTTCTCAGAGATCCAGGGTAAAATGACATTCACTTTCAGATCTTGGAGACAGATTCAGTGTGTTCTCAAGGCTGCCCTGATCATCAAATGATCACTACAATAATGGCTAACATCAACTGAGCATTTATAAACACCAGGTATTACACATATACCATTTCGAACACTGCAAATCTTATTGGTTAAGTACTATTGTTCCCAATTCAGAGAAGAGTAAAACTGTCATAGAAAAATGAAGTAACGTGCCCCAAGTTATAAAAGTGGAGCTAAGATTTGAATCCAGAGCCAATGCTTTTAAACCACTACAATCCACAAACCATATTTCCTGCCATGCCCAGGATGCCCCAAGTTCCCTGCCAGACCTTCCCTGAGGCTGCTACCACAGTTCCAAGGCTCCTACCTCAACGTAGCCAGACAGGGGGAAGTCTTTCCGGAAAGGATGTCCCTCAAAGCCATAGTCTGTCAGGATCCTTCTTAGGTCAGGGTGGTTAGCAAAGAAGACTCCAAACATGTCCCAGATCTAGAAAAAAGAGGCCCTCAGGCAACCAGTCCATCATGGCCAACATGGGGGTAAGGGGCTGTGCTGCCCACAGTAGTTCCAACCAATTCTGCAACTCTGGCTCAGAAGCACAGTCCACCATGCCCAGTGACTCACCTCCCTTTCGTACCAGTTTGCTGCCTTAAACACAGAGACAGTGGACTCAAGGGGTGTCAGCTCATCTGTATAGGTCTTCACACGGATGCGGGAATTGAATCTCAGAGACAGCAGGTTGTAAACAATCTAGGGAGAACAGAGGAAATGGAGGACCAAGATGGGCACAAGCTGAAGGGTCGAAGGCTGAAGTCCCTGAGGGGAGTATTAATGATGAGGACACAAGGTGAATTAGGTAAATCAGCCTTCTATCCTGAAGCTCAAAACCTCAAGATCCTCCTATACTTAACAGCTGCTTCCAAAGACCTAAGCCACACTGACATGTAGCTCCTCAGCAGTCAGCAAACTTATCTTCGTTCGTGCTATTCCCTTTGTCTAGGATGTCTCCAAACCACATTTCCCCCCATCCCAAACTTCACTGACTAATCCCTAGTCTTCTAGTCACCCACTAATGCTCAGCACAAACATTCTCTCTCCCTTCAAAGACACCTCCCAGATAGGGCTAAGTGGTCCTCCTGCAATCTTACAGCACATCTTTAACATAACATATATTATGTGTTATTACAATAAGCTGATTATGTATCCTCCCTGACTAGAGTTTGAGGGACTCCTGGAAGGCAGTTATTGGGTGTTATTTTTCTCTCTATTCCAGGATCTGGCAAATAGTATATTATCAGTAAATATCAATAGTTAAGTATATTAAAAACTTGTATGTGAGCAGTCTACCAGTACTATTTCATTTAATCCTCACAGCCACCCTCTGAATTAGGGACAATTTTATACTTATTCTGCCCCCAAAAAACTTAAAACTCAGAAAGATTAAACAAAATATTCACACAGTGTATAGGTGGCAGAGCCAGGATTTAAACTCAAGGCCTGCCTGATTCTGAGACCCTAGTTTAACTGTTTTGTTAAGCTGTTTGACCCAACTAAATCTAAGAAGGCTATGGTTCCTACTGGCAACTGTTACCCTAAAAGTGTTCTGTTCCTTTTCCTTCCTTTACCCCCAAAACCTCTCAAACCTCCTGACTGACCTCAAAACGGTTCTGCCGGGTTGGGATGTCCACTGCTGTCAAGTCAGCCAAGGATCTGAATTGTGCATTGGTGTGGTCCCTGAGGAAAGTCAGCACTGGGATGACTCCATCGGGATGGATACAGATCTCTAACTCATTGAAGCAGGACACCTGCAGGCATGAGACAGGAGGTAGAGACAACAACAAAGAGCTACCAAGGAAACAACTAACTGGAGCTGATTCTCCTGATTTAAGGCAGAGGAAGAAACCGAGTTGGGATGGAGAATCTATGGGGCTTTTTAAAAAAATGTTTTTCTTCATTTTGGAGAGAGAGGGGAAGGGAGAGGATTTAGAGAGAAACATTGATAAAGAGAAACATCAATTGTTTGCCTCCTCCACAGCCCTGCTGGGGATCCATCCCACAACCCAGGCATAGGCCTTGACCGGGAATTGAACCAGTGACCTTTTGGTTCAACCACTGAGCCACACTAGTTGGGCAGAATCTGTGGTTTTTTGATCCCAGGTTGCCCACTCCCACATGACCTGAGAATATGGTTCTTTCCTGACCCCGGCCAAACAACTGCTGAACATTACCTGAACTTGTTGGATATACTTGGGCAGGATTTCAGCCACATACTCCCCAAAAGCTGAGAGCTGTTTGTGGGCCACATCGTTCCGTGGTCTGACAGTGGCTGAAAGGAGAAGGCATATTTAACAAATGGCCAAGGCAGCAACCAGCCCTGCATCCAATCTAGTCTGGGCTTCTAAGAGGCTCCCTGTAGAACTTTGAGAAAGGTGAGAATGGAGGGAATAGGAAGTGATGAAACTTTAGGGGAAATGTCACCTACGCAGTCCGCAAAGACTCTCATTATTGAAGCTGGCATGTTTGCCTCTTCTCAAAACTACTCCATGGTTCTTCCCTTTATGAAGCCTGCATTTCTGTTAAAGCAACATATGTTTCCTCTCTCTTACCAGACTCCATAAGGGTGGGAACCAGAACGTTTACTTCTGTGTATCTCCTTAGCATTTGGTTCATAGCAGGCTCTCAAGGAAGAATTTCAGGGCTTACGAGCTCTCATGGATTCTCTAGTTGAAACCTTATTTATGCATAGATGAAGCAACAGAGAGGGGGGAAATGCCAAGTCTCCTGACTCTCAGTTGGCTTATATTGTCTGTAACGTATCTCTACACACTCATTCATGTAACCTCAATTTCTTAGCACCCAAACAGCATAGACTGCAGGGTAAAGGTTATTTGGTCTCTGGCAGCAAGCAGGCCTGCTCTGCCACTCAATAGTGTTGTAACCCTGAGCAAGTTATTTCTCTGGACTGTTTCCTGCCCCATCCGTAGTATGAAAATCCTATCTACCTCATAAGGTTGTGAGGACTTTAAGACCATTCATAAAAACACTTCCCAGATGCCTGGCAAACAATAAGCACTCAATTAACGTGAGCTACTATGACAACAGGCTCTATATTGGGCTCTAAGGCCCAAATATTATGTTCCCTGCTCTCAAACATTTGACAGTTTAATCAGAGAAAAAGAGAATCACGGAAGTGGACAAGGGGGCAATCATTGACAGAACAGAGGGACCTAAGGGCACAGGGAGGGCCCGATTCGGCCTGCAGAGTGAGGATCGTTGCAGTCAGCTCTCCAAGGACAAGTAGATTTGCCAAGACGCAGGGAAAGGCATCCCAGAACAAGGACCAACATGACGAAGGGAATGAGGAGCCCCCGCCCGTAGTCCCGAGAAGGGCCGGGCCCGCACATACTCACGGCGCTTGTCGGCCGCAGCGCTTTCCCTCCTCACCGGCAGCAACAGCGCCGAGGACCGTCCAACCCCTGCAAGGGGAGACAAAAGGCCCCGGAGCGCAGGGTGAGGCCTGGCCTCCCCGCGCTGGAAGCGCCGCTGCTCCTGCCCCGAGCCTCACCCGGTCACCCCCTGCTCACCCCGGGGCAGCGCCACGGCCCCCACGAGCCCCCGACACCAGGCCCGAGCGGCGGCCGCCATGATCACAAGGTGCAGACCAAGTAGCAAAGGCAGGACCTACAGGACACGGAGCCACAAGGACACGGACCGGAAGCGGAAGTGTGCTTTATATTTTCTTCCGGGCGGACGCCGGGCCAAAAGCAGAGATTCCGGGATCCGGGCTTCGGAATGATAGGAAGGGAGGCAGGTGAGAAAAAAAGGCAAGCCGGTGGAAAACCGTGAGCAGAACGTGGCTCTAGCTTGGTGTGGCAGAATCTGGAAAGAAGGCGAGGAGCCTAAAGAACTGGAACGGTGAGAGGAGGGGAAGGGGCGGGGTTCCGGGTTCCACATTCCACACCCCTTCCCCGCTTTTCGCTCAGCTTTTGGCGGGGGCTGGCGGGCCCGGGGGGCGGCTGGGCGGAGAACGGTTCCCCGGCGACCGTTTCCCGGGCTGACTCCGGGTGCAGCGGCGACTCTGCACGTGGCAATGGGCCTCCTTGTGCCCTGGGTTTGGGACGACTGGGCTGTGTCTCGAGTTCTGGGACGGAGCTTTGGGGGGGTCAGTAGGCTGAGCTGAGAAATGCGAGGGAGAAACTCAGGAAAGAGCAAATGTGGGGCTGACAGATGTCTCCGCCAAGCCTCAGAGTAGAAGGTCTGGACTCCCTGCGAGCGCGGGGAGGGAGACCATCTGCCTGGTTCTACTCTCTACATCGATAGCTTTCTATGCAGTAGTTTGAAGGCTCTTTCACAGGTTTCTAAGATAATTGGCTTACTCCAGCCCCTTGTTTTCATGCTTTGACCAAAAATACCAGGACTTTTGTTACATCACGGAAAGGAAATACCCATAGTAAGAAATTGTATTAATGTCAGTAGGTTTGGGGTGCCATTGCAGAATGAACCCAGCTGTAGTTGAAGGGGATCATCAGAGATGTTATTGGTGAGGCCAGAATTAAGGACAACCTGGGCCCACTTCGTCAACAATCACTTTTTCCTTCTCCCTCTCTGAATTGCACCATTGATTCATAGACTGTGGCTGTGGATTCCTTAAGTTATTGAGGGTGGTGTTACTTTGCAGACGACTGGCAGAGAAGTTGGCTACCATGGAATCACCAGAGGAGCCTGGAGCATTCATGGATGAAAACTACTTTGTGAACTACACTTTCAAAGATCGGTCACACTCAGGCCGTGTGGCTCAGGGCATCATGAAACTGTGTCTGGAGGAAGAGCTCTTTGCTGACGTCACCATTTCAGTGGAAGGCCGGGAGTTTCAGCTCCACCGGCTGGTCCTCTCAGCTCAAAGCTGCTTCTTCCGGTCCATGTTCACGTCCAACCTGAAGGAGGCCCACAACCGGGTGATTGTACTGCAGGATGTCAGTGAGTCTGTTTTCCAGCTCCTGGTTGATTATATCTACCATGGAACTGTGAAACTTAGAGCTGATGAGCTGCAGGAAATTTATGAGGTGTCAGATATGTACCAGCTGACATCTCTCTTTGAGGAATGTTCTCGGTTTTTGGCCCGCACAGTGCAGGTGGGGAACTGCCTTCAGGTGATGTGGCTGGCAGATCGGCACAGTGATCCTGAGCTCTACACTGCTGGCAAGCACTGTGCCAAGGCCCACCTCGCCCAGCTGCAGGACACAGAGGAATTTCTCCATTTGCCCCACCACCTACTCACTGATATCATCTCTGGTAAGCTGAGGGAGGGGGCATATCATACCCAGTGTATGTTCTGGTTCAAGAAAAAGGAACCCTCAGGCTTCCTGGTGTTAGTTTACAGTATTGGTGGGAATTTAGGTATCTTCTGAAAGAAACTGAGTAAAGATTAATATAGCTACTATCAGAGACTGAATCCTCTTTTGAGGAAAACTCCAGGAAAAGGAGAAGGTAGTGAAGAAGTATTTGTATATATACTATAATCTCCCCTGTGCATAGGTGTTTTTTTTTTTTCTTTCTATTTCTGTTTATTTTAAGTATATTTTTATTGATTTCAGAGAGGAAGGGAAAGGGAGAGATAGAAACATCTATGATAAGAATCACTGATAGGCTGCCTCCTGCACACCCCCTACTGGAGATTGAGCCCAAAACCTAGGCATGTGCTCTTGACTGGAATTGAACCTGGGACCCTTCAGTCCTCAGGCCAGTGCTGTATCCACTGAGCCAAACCAGCTAGGGACATAGGTGTTCTTATCCACCCTGCACTCTGCATGTACCTGTTACCTAAGTAAATTTATGATGAATGATGGATAAGTCAAGACACCTAAAAAAAAATCTTTTTAAAAAATATATTTTTTGCCAGGACCGGTTTGGCTCAGTGGATAGAGCGTTGGCCTGCGGACTGAAAGGTCCCGGGTTCGATTCCGGGCAAGGGCATGTACCTTGGTTGCGGGCACATCCCCAGTAGGGGGTGTGCAAGAGGCAGCTAGTCAATGTTTCTCTCTCATCGACGTTTCTAACTCTCTGTCCCTCTCAATTTCTCTCTGTGTAAAATCAATAAAATATATTTAAAAAAAAAAATATATATATTTTTATTGATTTCAAAGCAGAAGGGAGAGGGAGAGATAGAAACATCAATGATGAGAATCATAGATTGGCTGCCTCCTGCTCGCTCCACCCCCACCCCGGGGATCAAGCCCACAACCTGGGCATGTGCTCCGAACAGAAATCAAACTATGACATCCTGGTTCATAGGTTGACACACCACCACTGAGCCATGCCGGCTGGGCCCTAGAAAACATTTTAAGTGATGGGCCACGTTTAGGTTACAATCCTGACACTGCAAGTGAGATATAAACATACTTTAGGTGTGAGCTCTGCAGCCTAGTAGATTGCTTCTGTGGCAAATGGGAGTATATCAAACCAACCATTTTGATTAAAAGGCAGTTTGAGATTTTCTCACACATGTATTCATACATACATGGTAGCAGTTTAACAAAGAGGTTCATATATTTATAGTCCCTGGCTCTAAATTTCCCTTGTGGATTGTCAGAGTGCCATTGACCATGCATTTCCTCTGGGTCTCACAGATGGAGTTCCATGTTCCCAGAACCCAACAGAGGCAATAGAAGCCTGGATCAATTTTAATAAAGAGGAAAGAGAATCTTTTGCCGAGTCACTCAAGAGTAGCTTGAAGGTAAGGCAGATTTCTTTGGATTGGGACATTACACTAGCCATGTGTTACACCGTCAGTTGGGCTGGCCATTTTGATGACTGGGGATTGTCTCTGGCTTGAAGTTGATAGAAGCTGGGGGAGAAGGATATGTATGCCTCTGAGCTCCAAAGCTCCTTGAGGGAACTACTTTCAACCCTGTGTAAACAGTCCTAAGCACCTTTGTCCGAGACACCAGCTCAGACAAAGGTGCTTTAAAAAAAAAAAAAAAAAAAGTGATAGTTTTTAAAAAAATATATTTTATTGATTTTTTACAGAGAGGGAGAGAGAGTTAGAAACATTGATGAGTCATCGATCAGCTGCCTCTTGCATGCCCCCTATTGGGATGTGCCCGCAACCAAGGTACATGCCCTTAAGCAGAATCGAACCCGGGACCCTTCAGTCCGCAGGCTGATGCTCTATACACTGAGCCAAACCGGTTTTGGCTCATGATAGTTTTAAGAAGCTGAAAGGATGAGATTCTCTGCCCCGGCATAAAATATCTGAAAGACAGTGACTGGAGGAGAGTCAGGGTGACACACAGAACCTGGAGGGGAGTAGGCTGCAGCAGAATTCAAGTGTGTGGCCTAAGACCTTAAGGTGTTGAGCCTAAGCTGAGCCTTAGCCTGGAACCAGTAGATAGCACTGATCATTTTAATTTTTCCAATAGGAAATTGGGGAGAACGTGCACATTTATCTGATCGGGAAAGAGTCATCTCGTACCCACTCCCTGGCTGTGTCCTTGCACTGTGCTGAAGATGACTCCATCAGTGTACGTGGCCAAAACAGTCTGTGCCACCAGATCACTGCAGCCTGCAAGCACGGCGGAGACCTGTACGTGGTAGGAGGGTCCATCCCACGGCGCATGTGGAAGTGTAACAATGCCACCGTGGACTGGGAGTGGTGTGCGCCCTTACCCCGGGACCGGCTCCAGCACACCATGGTGTCCGTGCCCGGGAGAGATGCTATATATTCACTGGGTGGCAAGACGCTGCAGGATACCCTCTCCAACGCCGTTATCTATTACCAGGTAGATTATAACATCTGGATAGAGACAACACAGCTAGAGGTGGCTGTGTCAGGGGCCGCTGGAGCCAATCTCAACGGGATTATCTACCTACTAGGGGGGGAGGAGAATGACCTGGACTTCTTTACCAAACCTTCCCGCCTCATCCAGTGCTTTGATACAGAGACAGACAAGTGCTACATGAAGCCCTATGTGCTGCCCTTTGCCGGCCGCATGCATGCAGCTGTGCATAAGGATCTGGTGTTCATCGTGGCCGAAGGGGACTCCCTGGTTTGCTACAATCCCCTGCTAGACAGCTTTACCCGGCTTTGCCTTCCTGAGGCCTGGACCTCCACCCCACCCCTCTGGAAGATCGCCAGCTGTAATGGGAGCATTTATGTTTTTCGGGATCGATATAAAAAGGGGGATGCCAACACCTACAAGCTTGACCCTGCCACTTCAACTATAACAGTCACCAGAGGCATTAAGGTGCTGCTCACTAATTTGCAGTTTGTGTTGGCATAAGGCATGGGGAGAAGAGCGACTGACTTTTGTCCTCCCCTTTTCCAGCACCTGCCCATCCAAACTGAAGCCTCCAAAATCCGATTCAGAGTACTATGTTATTTTGTGGCACATGTTCAAAAGGCAGCCCTCAGCCCTTCCCTGAAGCCCTAGGGGTAGCCATTTTGGGGCTCTCTAGACTGCCGCTACTCAGCTGGCTGCTTGAATGAGAACAGGTCAGCCACCCCTGGTAATCCTGTGCCTACGCAGACTCTCAGAGCAAGCATCTCCTCGGATCTTAGGTACAGCCTCCCCTCTTTACCTGATCAGTGTTAAACATAAGCACCCCTGACCCCAGGACAAAAGGAAAAATGCCCCATCTTTCTTCTATAGTCTGCAAAGTTACCTGGTAATTTTTTCACAAAGAATTAGGTGTCACGAGTTTTCCTTCAGGCTTTGGTTGGGAGAATGGACAAAACTGAGGGTGTCCTTCACCAGCAAGAGTCAACTCTAAAATTCTGGACGTTGTGTCTATTGCTTTCTCATCTGTGTGTCAGGAAATGTATACTTTGATTTGACTTTTGGCTAACTCCAAGGGATAAGCCAGAAAAAAGTAGAAAGATTTCTTTTTTATTAATAGCTGAAACATTTTCAAACTCAAATATATAAGGTCTCTACTCTTTTAAAAGTTCTAAGTCCAGCCAAGAGCTAGAAACTGTTCATACAAATAAAGTTTCTAGAGGGATGTGTGTGTCTTTTTTTGAATTCTGAAGGGGTGACTTCCTAAGGGAAACTAATTACCTGCACAGACAATTCCGAGTCAGCCACAATCCTGATTGAACACCATATTTCCTTTTTTATACACAGGATTGCGGCTCCAAAAATGAGGGGCCAGTGAATTGAGATTCTGACTGGCAAAGAGCCAGAGCTAAGTATTTCTTCTCTTCCTAGTGTTCAATGTCTTTGAGTTATGGTGCTAAGTATCACCAGGTACAGCGGTAGGTGCATGATAAATTTCTTTGATCTTATTCAAAAAAAATAAGACATCCTCAGCCTACCCCACATCCCATACCCTGCAAATAAAAGCCAAGGTAAATCTTTCTAGCCACACAACAGTGTTATTTCAGGGAAATGAAACCATGACAAAGGGAGAAACAAAACCATTACCCATTACTTAGCACACTTCGGTTACGCTGTCTGGGCTTAAGCTCCATTGGTCCTGTTTAACATTTGCCTTCTATTGCCATCAGGGTTGTCTTGAGTTCTTTCTAATCTACATACTTCATGTGTAACACAGTTCCTTCTTTGCTGCCTCTGCAGTAATCTTCCTGTGGAACTCTTTGAGAATGTCAAATTGGCCAGGTCTGATATAGATGTGTGACCGGATCTTGGCAATGGCTTGTATAGCCTCCTCTGGAGTCCAGTTGTACACCTGAAGTACAGGGGTGGAAAAGGAAAGAAGCTGGTGTAAAGTGTCTTGACCTAATGACAGGTACTAATGGACTCCCAGAATTTCATTTTTATTAAAACTCCAGGGGAGAGGGGTGTTAAAAACCATGTTCCATATATTATAAGGGAGAGCACTTTATTTATTTTTATATTTTTTAATTTATTTCTTACAGACAGGAAGGGAGAGGGATAGACTAAGAAACATCGATGAGAGAGAAACATGGATTAGGTGCCTCCTGCACACCCCGCACTGGGGATGTGTCCACAGCCAAGGTGCATGCCCTTGACTGGAATCGAACCTGGGACCCTTGAATCCGCAGACCAATGCTTTATTCACTGAGCCAAACCAGTCAGGGCAGGGAGAGCACTTTACCACTCTCAGCTAACCAGCCTCAAATTACAGGCCAGAGGGACAAGTCAGTCTACTTAATTCTTGCTCTGGCAAACTCTGGCAAAAGAAGGTTGAATGTGTGGAGCTCAGATCCTAAATCCAAGCCTGCCAAGGCCTGTTAGGTGTCTTCCGGAGCTGGACCAGTGGGTAAAAATTTCTTGGAAAGAGTAGATGTTTTTACACAACTTGTCACCATAACTAGAAAAACACCACTTTAAATTTTACTGGTAAGGTTATCTTTGTGTCCTAAACATACTGGTTTAGAACACAAGAGAACCAAAAAATATAGATTCTAGCCTGCTGGTTCAGTTTTCACTTGGCCTAAAATATCCTCCTGAGACCCTGTTTTCAGCAAACAGTCCTAATGACCAAAGCTTCAGTATTGTTAAACCATATACTCACCAGCCCACAGTAACACAAACAAGGCCAGGTGGTTATCTTTACATTTCCTTTTTCCTTAAACTAGCCCCATGACTTAGAAAATGCTCTGCAGGGGCCAGACAGGTAACAAAAATGAACTAAGCGGAGGGCATACGATGGAATGGTAAGAGTATTTGCTTCTAAATATTTTTACTAGTTAAGTGTTCCACCTGCTGATGGTAACAAATTGATAGGCAAAATTCCATTGGATCCTGTTTCTAGAAACTAATGTCCAAAACTCTACTCTTAAACACTTGAAGAAATCTGAGTACTACAGAGCTGAAAGTGATCAGCATTATTTACAGTACTAGACGTGCTATTTTTAACAAGCAATTCTAGCCCTCAGCTGGTGTTAATATCCTTTGCATCTCCATTTATTGAGTGTCTGCTGTAAGTCAGTGCTTGACATACTTTCACATTCAAACTCCGTAACACATTTAGTTTAAGGAAATGGCATTGGACAGAGAAGCCACTTTGGCAGAAGGTCACATAGCTGGCAGGTGGCAAAGCCACAGGTCAGCCTATTTGCAAAGCTCAGGTACTTTCCACCTCCCAACAGTCTGACACCGGGGACATGGTTCCTTCCAGCAAAGACCATGCTACTGAAGTTCTGGGAAATCGCCTGTAAATGGGACCAATCCAGAAAGACCCCTCCTACCTGAATCAGATACGCTGCCACCATAGTGGCACTTCTGGAGCGCCCAGCCTTGCAATGCACATAGACACTCTGACCCAGAGACTGGTACTTGAGAGCAAACTGAACTCCTCTCTGGAGGTTAGTCAAGGTTGGGATCCCAGTCATGTCTATTGTGCTGAGTCGCAGCTGCTCGACTCCCATTTTCCTCCATTCCTGTGAGCAGGTCCACCAGCATAAAAGGAATGAGAAAGCCAGACGTTAGTCATGAAGATGGGCTCTCGAGAAGTAGCAGATCTTCAGGGTTTACTACACTGTGAATATACTGTTCACTGTTTTCTGACAAGAAATTCTTACCGAAATATTTTGTCCTCCCCTTTTCCAGCACCTACCCATCCAAACTGAAAGTCTCCAAAATCCCAACTCAGAGTACTATGTTACTGAATAAAAATTTTTTAAAGTATGGCCGGGACCGGTTTGGCTCAATGGATAGAGCATCAGCTTGGGGACTGAAGGGTCCCGGGTTCGATTCTGGTCAAGGGCATGTACCTTGGTTGCGTGTATATCCCCAGTGAGGGGTGTGCAAGAGGCAGCTGATCGATGACTCTCTTTCATCGATGTTTCTAACTATCTCTCTCCCTTCCTCTCTGTTTAAAATCAATAAAATATATTTTAAAAAAATTTTTTTTTAAAGTATGGTGTTTTTTTTAAAGTATGTTTTTATTGATATTTTTAGAGAGAGGGTAAGACAGGAACATCAATGTGAGAGAAATATCAATCAACTGTCTCCCGAACACATGAATACACCCCCACCGGGGATGGAGCCCCAAATCTGGGTATATGCTCTGACTGGGAATCGAACTGGGGACCTTTAGGTGCATAGGATGGCACTCAACCAACTGAGCCACACCAGCCAGAGCCAGAAATATTTTTGCAATGACTGACCTAAATGGTTGGTCTTTCACCAAACAATAACTATGCTGCTGAGTTAGAATTATGTCCAAGATTTAAAGTGTTCTTAAAGTGCCCTTTGGATATTTGAATTTTTTTAAAAAACAGTATATGATTATATTTAATAACAACTTTGATACAACCAAAAAGTAAAACACCGGAGTTGGATATTTGAATTTTTAACTGCAAGACATTAGCTACATAAAATTCATCTACAAAAGTGAAACTTGCCGCCGAAACCGGTTTGGCTCAGACTGAAGAGTCCCAGGTTTGATTCTGGTCAAGGGCACATCCCCAGTCGGGGGTGTGCAGGAGGCAGCTGATCGGTGTTTCTCTCTCTTCGATGTTTCTGGCACTCTCTCTCTCCCTCTCTTTAAATTTTTTTTAAAGTGAAACTGAAACTGTCTCTTTGCATAATCTTGGTGCCTATCCAGTAACCTAGCTTCGGGGTTGGGCTACTATAATTTGCAAGTGCTTTCTATTTCTCTGTCCATAAGTCTCTTTTTTACCACTTTTTTCTTGAGAGGGTATGTGGTAGAAAATAGAGTTAGCCCACAGAATCAGCCAGAATCAGCCGTTGGTCAGACAGAGGGAAAAGAAAAAGAAAAGTTAGCTCCCATCGGGTGTGGCTCAGTGATTGAACATCGACCCACGGACCAGGAGGTCATGATTCAATTCCAAGTCAAGACAGGTGCCCAGGCTGGGGGCTTGGTCCTCAGTGGAGGGCATACAGGAGGCAGCCAGTCAATGATTCTCTCATCTCTGATGTTTCTATCTCTCCCTATCCTTTCCTCTCTAAAATCAATAAAAATATATACTAAAAAACAGAATAGCCCTGGCTGGTTCGGCTCAGCGGATTTAGCGTCGGCCTTGGACTGAGGGGTCCCACGTTGGATTCTGGTCGGGGGCATGTGCCTTGGTTGTGTTTGTGGGCACGTCTCCCGTGGCGGGTATGCAGGAGGCAGCTGATCGGTGTTTCTCTCCTATCTATGTTTCTGGACTATCCCTCTCCCTTCCTCAGCAGGAGACAGCTGATTGATGTTTCTCTCACCGATGCTTCTAACTATCCCTTTCTTCCTCTCTGTAAAAAGTCAATAAAATATATTAATAAAAAAAAAAAAAACAGTAATCAAATTTGAAAGGCAACTTTTCTTGGGCTTGCTGATTTCATCCATTCAACACTTGCCGAGCACTAAGCATGGATGAGGCGCTGCCCTCGGCATGCAAGACACAGGCCCTATAAACTTTGGGAAGAAAAGCCACCCCCACTCCCGAAGAGTACATTTATCATAGCACCCACTGAAAAACTGCATCGGGTTACTTTGACTCTGCCTTGAGGGTATTTTCATCCATCTGTCAGAGATGTAGTGGAGTTACAAAGTACTGTCATAACGAAGTTCAGGCCTAAAACATACTTTTGTTATGGGGATGTGCCTGCAACCAAGGTACATACATGCCCTTGACCTGGATCGAACCTGGGACCCTTTAGTCTGCAGGCTGACGCTCTATCCAGGGCTGGCTATTGATTCTTCATTACCGAACTTAAAAACACATTGGTGCACCAAGGGGGAAACCAGACTTTGTCAACTGCGCTTTTAAACGCCTTTCTCAAACAGTTTTTGTTTCACAATTACCTTCGGTCGCAGCCATTTAAGCTTAGAGTACCAGACCCTCCTCTTACGGGGGCAAATAGGCCTGGGCACCGGTCTCCGGGCCGGGCACCCGGGTCACGGTCACGGTCACGGCCCCGGCCCCGGCCCCGGCCCCTCACCTTGGCGGAGTTGCACAGGAACCTGGTCTCATACTCCTCGTTCATGGTGATCACTCCGCGCACATTCTCGTCCTCCACCAGCTGCCGAGGTAAAGAGGGGGCTCAGCACAGGCGCCGCGGCCCGGGGCCCGGGGCCCGGGGCGGGCGCCCCTCCCGCCCGCCCGGCCGCCCGGCGCCGCTCACCCGGCGCGTCATCCTGCGCAGCGGCAGCGCGCCCAGCAGCACGGTGCGGTCGATGCGGTTGTACCAGTCGCGGCGCGCCGGGCCCGGCACCTGGCCGCGGACCACGGTGTAGAGCAGCGTCGGGTAGAAGAGCACCCGGGCCAGGCCGGCCTCCAGCAACGTGCCGGCCGCCATCCCGCCCCACGCGGCCTGGCGCAGCAGCGGCCCCTCCGCCGCGCCGCTCGCGCTGGGCGGCCGCGAGGAGAGCCGGGAGGGGGACGAGGACGGCGGCTGCGAGTCGGCCTGGGCCTCCGAAGGCGAAGGCGACGCGGCGGCGGGCGCGGGCCCCTCGGGCGCGGTGCCCTCCGGCCGGCTCCCCGGGGCCTCGGCGATGGCCCCCGGCGCGGCCCAGGCCTGCTGCACCGAGCCGGAGGAGGGGCTGCCGGCCTCGGGGGCGGGGCCGCGGCTCCCGGGCCGGCCCAGCAGGGCCGCGGCCCAGCGCGGGCGCGTCCGGGGCCAGAGGCCCGTGGCTGTCCGGCGAGTCAAACTGCGACCCATGCCCGGGGCCGGCGAGCCTCCTCCCGCGGGAGGGGGCGTGACCCGGCGAGAGGGCCTGACCCCGCGAGCGGAACGGTGACCCCCGGCGGCCGGCGGGGAGGCGGGTCCGGGCCAATGGCCTGAGCGCCTGGGACACCGAATCCCGGCGGGAGGGCGGGGCCTCCGGCCCCAGGTGAGGGTGTGACCGCTCCCTGGGGATCCGGGGTTCAAAGGGCCTGTGCCACCACCACCCCCCACCCCCCATCTGCCTGAAGTCATGGCTCCCTCCTCCTGACCCACATGCACGTTAGGGGAAAAAAATGTGAGATCTATGATGCATTATGAAAATGCATTAATATACCATTAAGAAAGATAGGATACGCTTAAGTGTAATGTCCACAGCCTACAAAGATGCAATGGTTGTAAATAGTTGTCTGGGATATGCATCTAGTGCCTTTTAAAACATGTTTTTGGGGACTCTTTTCACCTCCCCAAGTGGGAGTCTGTATTTGTTCTTCAATAAATTTCCACCTTTGCTATACCATCAAAATAAATAAAAAAATTTCTAATTTAAATGAGTATTTTAGGTGAATATTGTCTAAATATTCTAATTTAAATGAGTATTTTAGGTGAATATTGTCTAAATATAGGAGTGGATGAAATTGACTGCCCAGAAGAAAATTTGGAACTTTTGAATAATAGCAGATACTTTTGTTCCTGGTATGTAAATGTTATTCTAGATGCAGAAAAACGAAACTTGACCAACAGCAAAAAGACTCGGATCATGGTGGCTCAAAAATTAGAAATGATCCAGAATACTTTTTAGCTAAGACATATAGGATCTGACTGTCTCCCATTTACCTGCCCTTTTTAAAAAATAATATTAATTGGATCTTACGTGCCATCTAAGTCATCTAAGGTTATGGTCTTATCCCGTCCCCAGTGGTCCACCTGCTCAGCAAGACAAATGCTGACAGTGAGACATCCTAAGAATGTGCCTTCCTAACACTTGGTCATCAATGCATCCTTTGGATTGATTTATGACCAAAAAGGGGCCATTTGCTAACCTGACAAACTCAAGGAAGGCCTGCATGACCTCACAAACTCAAAGACCTAAAGTAATCACAAAGGCTGGTCTGAAATTAAACTTTAACTAAAGTAGTTATGGTGGGTAGTTAACGTCCTAGGCTGGTATCTTCACTAACAAAGTCAACCTTTACTTAAACTGAGCCAGTCTTTTTGCATCTACTAATAATATATCCTTGAAATGTCTGGGTAACTTGTAACTTCCCTTTTTCCAGGCCCCCTGGGGCACAGTTAGGGCACAGCTCCCTAACGTGCCAGGGAGCCAGGACAGATACCACAAATTCCTTCATCATTATCATGTTAATTGTTCCTGTACCCACCTAAGTACTTGTATATCATTTTACTTTTTATCCAATCTCAGAGGTTTCCCTCCCCTTTGCTTTGTTTTCTCCCACCTCTCTAGTCTATCATCAATGAATTTTATGTAACCCACTTAAGTTCCTCCTTTGATTGTAATGTATAAAAATAAAGGAAAACCCGCCTTGCTCTGGAGCATTATCTCAATTCCTTGAGGTTCTGCTTCCCAGCAATTGTTGACAGTTTGGCTCAAAAAGTCTCTAAAAACAATACACACACACACACACACACACACACACACACACACACACATTGAGTGGCCAGGTTATTATGACCACCTGACATTTGTAGGCAAATTAGCCTTACACTGCATCGTATGGAATATGGAAGCCGAAGGCCTGTTTGAACACCTGTGCTGTCTGCAGTTACCAAGATAAAACGTCTCCAATTCGCACAGGAATACAAGGATTGGACAGTCAAGCATTGGAAAAAAGTCATGTGGTTCGATGAATCACATTTCTAGTTGTAACATGCAGATGGCAGAGTGAGAATTTGGCCAAGACAGTATGAAAGCATGCACCCCATATGCATGAATACAACCCTTCAAGCTGGTGGGGGCAGTGTTATGGTTTGAGGCATGTTTTCCTAGCATGATTTGGGCCCTTTAATTCATGTGGAATAATGTCTGAATAGCACAACATACCAAAGATTCATTGCTGATCAAGTTCATCCCATCATGTTGATGGTGTATCCCAATGGAGATGGCTTCTTCCAATAAGACAATGCACCATGCACGGTGCTCGTATTGTGCAGGAGTGGTTTCAGGAACATGAGGGAGACTTTACCTTGCTTAGGTGGCCCCCAGATCTCAAACCAATCCAGCATTTGTGGGAAGAAGTTAAAAGAGCCATCAGGCAGCTGGTTCCACAACCATCAAACCTCCCAGAACTGGGCAGTGGTAGTCATCAGGCATGGTGTCAGATTCCTCGCATCACCTTTCAACATCTCATGGAGTCAATGCCAAGAAGAATCGCCACAGTATTGAAGGCAAAAGGTGGCCCAACAAAGTACTGATGGGGTGGTCATAATAATCTGGCCATTCAGTGTGTATATTTATATTTATATTTATATTTATTTATATTACAGAGAAGAAGGGAGAGGAATGAGAGAGAAACATTAATCAGCTGCCTCCTGCATGTCCCTTACTGGGGATCAAACTTACAACCCAGGCATGTGCCCTGACTGGGAATAAAACCACGACCTTCAGGTTCATGGGCCAATGCTCAACCACTGAGCAACACTGGCAGGGCCTTTTTCTTTTCTTAATCCTTACCTCAGGACATGCTTAAAGAGAGAAGGGGAAGAGAAATATCAACAGGCTGCTTTCTGTATATGCCCTAATGGGGAATACCTTCAACCCAAGTATGTGCCCAGACTGGGAATTGAACTGGCAACCCGTTGTCCAACAGATGTACAGGTCAATGTTTTAGTGTGTTCACAGAGCAGTGCAATCATCACCAAAACCAGTTTTAAAACATTTTTATCACCCCTCAAAGAAATCCCATACCCATTAGTATTCACTCTCCACTTCCCCCAAAACCAACAGCCATAGGTAAGCACTAATTTATTTTCTGTTTCTTTTTTAAAAAAAATATTTTTATTGATTTCAGAGAGGAAGGGAGAGGGAGATAAAAACATCAATGATGAGAATCATTGATTGGCTGCCTCCTGCACACCTCCTACCGGGGATCGAGCCCACAACCCGAGCATGTGCCCTTGACTGGAATCAAAACCTGGACCCTTCAGTCCCCAGGCCGACGCTCTATCCACTGAGCCAAACCGGTTTCAGCTCATCATTGATGTTTTTATCTCCCTCTCCCTTCCTCTCTGAATCAATAAAATATTTTGTAAAAAAATCATTGTAGCTGAAACCGGTTTGGCTCAGTGGATAGAGCGTCAGCCTGCGGACTGAAAGGTCCCAGGTTCGATACTGGTCAAGAGCATGTACCTTGGTTGCAGGCACATCCCCAGTAGGGTGTGTGCAAAAGGCAGCTGATCTATAGATGATTCTATTGCATCGATGTTTCTAACTATATATATATCTCTCTCTTCCTCTCTGTAAAAATTCAATAAAATATATAAAATAAAATAAAAATCATGCTAATAAAAATTTGTCATGCTAATCATGCTAATAAAAATTTGTCATGATTTTATCCACTAAATGTTATACTATAAGCACCTTCCATGTTATTACATTGTCTTTATCATTAAAATGAAACTAATTGCTATACCATAAAGTAATTATTCTATTATTAGATATTTAGGCTATTTCAAAATTTTTGTTTCTAGCCAAAACCGGTTTGGCTTGATGGATAGAGCGTTGGCCTGCACACTGAAGGGTCCCAGGTTTGATTTCAGGCAAGGGCATGTACTGTGGTTGCCGGCACACCCCTGGTAGGGGGTGTGTAGGAGGCAGCTGGTCGATGTTTTTAGCTCTCTATCCCTCTCCCTTTCTCTCTTGTAAAAAATCAATACAAAATATATTTTTTTAAAAAGTTTTGTTTCCAAACATTTCCAGCATGAAAATTTTTTTATTGCATTTATTGGGGTGACTGGTTAAAAAGGTATATAGGTTTTAGGTGTACAATTCTTTTATACATCATCTGTATATTGTATTGTGTGTTCACCAACTCAAGTCAGGTTTCCTTCCATCACCATTTATCCCCCTATACCCTCTCCTACGTCTCCCCCACACCTCCTTTCTATATATTATACAATTTTTTCTATATATTATTTCTACATGTCCTATATTTAGAATTACTATAGTAGGATAGGTTCCTAAATGTGGAATTACTGTGTCAAAGAATCATTTACAATTTTTGCTTTATATAAAGTACATAACCTAAAAAGTCCCTTTCTTACCCCAAAACCCTGTCTTCAAACTGCAGATTTTTATGCATATATTTTTACCATCATTTTGTTATGAACATTTTCATAATAAAATAAATTAAAAATGGAAAGCTGAACAGGGAAAACCCATATAACTGCCACCTAAATCAGTGGTTCTCAACCTTTCTAATGCCCTTTCATACAGCTCCTCATGTGTGGTGACCCTCCAACCATAACACTATTTTCGTTGCTACTTCATAACTGTAATTTTGCTGCTGTTATGAATTGTAATGTAAATATCTGATATGCAGGATGTCTTAGACAACCCCTGTGAAAGGGTCGGTCGTTCACCTCCCAAAGGAGTCGAGACCCACAGGTTGAGAACCACCGAGTCCTAAATGCTACAATTAACATTTAATTGTTTTTTTTTTATATTTACCCATCAATCCATTCTATTCTTGATACATTTAAAATATACATTTTTTTAATAATATATTTTATTGATTTTTTACAGAGAGAAAGGGAGAGAGAGAGCTAGAAACATCAATGAGAGAGAAACATCGACCAGCTGCTTCTTGCACACCCCCTACCGGGGATGTGCCTGCAACCAACGTACATGCCCTTGACCGGAATCGAACCCGGGACCTTTCAGTCCGCAGACCGACACTCTACCGTTGAGCCAAACCGGTTTCGGCTAAAATATACTTTTTTTTTTTTTTTTTTTTTTTTTTAATGAAAGTTGACTCATC